AAAAAATAATGAAACAGACGAAGTCGCTTAGAAAAAACAGCGCAGAGGGTTTCGAATTTTTCTCAGCAACGTTACATTCTTTTGTTTTCTCATTATTCCATCGTTAAACGATTCTGTACCCCCACTGCAACTGGCAACTTTCTTACTATTGGTTTTGATCGAAGCTGGATTACCCGCTACTTTAGCTTATCCTGGAGATTGTTCCCATGCTTTTTCTGTATTTCGCATAGATATGCTGGATTACTATACCTTCGAAAAAAACTGAGGAAAAAAAGTACTTTTTTAACATCAATAGCATGCGGGTCCTTCTCGATGATAATTTGCTGCATCTGAAAATCGCCCCACCATGGCACATGAACGAGGCTGTTCACGTTCAGTGGTGGTCCCCTCAGATATCCCGAAACTTTCAGAGTACACACATCACCCTGCAATTATAATCCAAAAACGCTTAGAATACAAGCGCTTATCATAATTTTGTCACTGTTTTTCCCCAAAAACAACTCTAATAAGAAACCGGCCGCATCCTATTTTTTTCCTCGCAGACAGTACGGAGCGAAACTCTTTCTTATGCGAAACTCGAAAATGAGGGCACCGAAATGAGTGATGTAACAAAGAAATTTTGTCAGGAACTAAATCAAACCACCACGAATTACTGGACTAAATTAAACCCCCATCTAGCTTACAGGAGGTAACAAGAACGCCTGGACAATCGGTGTGTATATTCCAGTGGAGTTGTTGTCCACATAACTGATGCTTTAATTTTTCCTTATTTACATTATTATTAAGAGAAATGTGAATGAAAATATCTACTTCCGTCTCAATCTTTTCGGCACTTTCGGCAATCAGATGTGGTCGAGTTCGCTGCAAAAACGAATGTTTCTTCTTCATTGTGCTGATCGCAAGCAGAGCAAGTTGGCCGTCACTATCACTGCCACATTGCAATAATTTATCGACTTCAAAACTCCTGAGAACTTTGGACAATCAGAAAATAATCCCACGAACATAATGAAAATGCTCGGTAATGTTTATAAAGAGTCCTGATGCACTGTAATTTTTATCGAGACAAACGGCAGCGAGGCTCAGTGTTTTAACCGAAATGCACACATGCCATCCCAGCTATGTCACAGGTGTTCCGCACTGAGTGTTCAGTTCGTGATTCCTACCTCAGCAGTCTGCGCATGCAAGCTTTCTGGAAGCTGTCAGCACAAAAAAATGCAGTAGCACTTTCCCTCTTCGTACTTTCGTTCCTACTAATTTAGGAAAAAAAGAATTCTTTCGAAATTAACTCCTTCTTCCTGCAGCAATTTTGCCCCTCTTTTAGCTAAAATCTACGTCTCATTTTTTCCAGGCCAAATTTTATGCATTTTGACTCATTTTGTGCTTTCCTATGTAAATCCTCCCCAATTCTCGCGCCTCGATTAAATTCCTGGCTTTTTAGTCCAGTTGACGATACTGATACGGCCTGCGAGTTGAAGATACTGATATGGCCTGATACCGCCGGTCGTACTTTCTTCCAGAAAACCGCTGTCAAGCTATTTTTTTCCTGATTATAAAAGTCAAATTAAAATGGCGGTGATGAACGTCCTAACCGATTTCTAATTAATTTCGTCGCATTTTTTCGTACACGCTCCTTCAGTTTTGGAACTGCTGTTGAGCTAAGTCCAGGTACAAAATGTACAGCTGCTGGCAAACCATGCGCCAATAAGGTGCTCAACAAAATATCTTCTTCCTGGACGATTTCGCCATCCGACGGCCACAAAAATGCAACCACATCGGA